TCAGCTTCTTCGTACATCGTACGAAATTTGCTCAAAGACGAAGTGACGTGAGTATGGTCTTCACCTGGCACATTCAGTTTTCGAACTTCTAAAGGTTTTCAAAATACTTTATAGCTTTGTCATGTTTTTTATAGCTTTTCATAATACACATTACCAAGATTGTTTAAAGACATAGCGACATCAACATGATTTGGACCTAACGATTGTTTTCGAATTTCTAGAGCTTTTTTGTGAACCTCTTTAGCTTTGTCGTAGTTTCCAGTTTTATAAAACACCAAACCAAGATTGTTTAAAGACTGCGCAACATCGACATGATTTGGACCTAACGATTGTTTTCGAATTTCTAGAGCTTTTCGTGAACCTCTATAGCTTTGTCGTAGTTTCCAGTTTTTCAAACACCAAACCAAGATTGTTTAAAGAATCAGCAACATCAACATGATTTGGACCTAACGATTGTTTTCGAATTTCTAGAGCTTTTTCGTGAACCTCTTTAGCTTTGTCGTAGTTTCCAGTTTTTTCAAACAACACACCAAGATTGTTTAAAGACTGAGCAACATCAACATGATTTGGACCTAACGATTGTTTTCGAATTTCTAGAGCTTTTTCGTGAACCTCTATAGCTTTGTCGTAGTTTCCAGTTTTTTCAAACACCAAACCAAGATTGTTTAAAGAATCAGCAACATCAACATGATTTGGACCTAACGATTGTTTTCGAATTTCTAGAGCTTTTTCGTGAACCTCTTTAGCTTTGTCGTAGTTTCCAGTTTTTCAAACACCAAACCAAGATTGTTTAAAGAATCAGCAACATCAACATGATTTGGACCTAACGATTGTTTTCGAATTTCTAGAGCTTTTCGTAAAACTTTATAGCTTTGTCGTAGTTTCCAGTATTATACACATTACCAAGATTGTTTAAAGAATCAGCAACATCAACATGATTTGGACCTAACGATTGTTTTCGAATTTCTAGAGCTTTTCGTGAACTCTATAGCTTTGTCGTAGTTTCCAGTTTTATAAAACACCAAACCAAGATTGTTTAAAGAAACAGCAACATCAACATGATTTGGACCTAACGATTGTTTTCGAATTTCTAGAGCTTTTCGTAAAACTTTATAGCTTTGTCGTAGTTTCCAGTATTATAATACACATAACAAGATTGTTTAAAGAATCAGCAACATCAACATGATTTGGACCTAACGATTGTTTTCGAATTTCTAGAGCTTTTCGTGAACCTCTATAGCTTTGTCGTAGTTTCCAGTTTTATAAAACACCAAACCAAGATTGTTTAAAGACGAAGCAACATCAACATGATTTGGACCTAACGATTGTTTTTGAATTTCTAGAGCTTTTCGTGAACCTCTTTAGCTTTGTCGTAGTTTCCAGTTTTATAAAACACCAAACCAAGATTGTTTAAAGACTGAGCAACATCAACATGATTTGGACCTAACGATTGTTTTCGAATTTCTAGAGCTTTTCGTGAACCTCTTTAGCTTTGTCGTAGTTTCCAGTTTTATAAAACACCAAACCAAGATTGTTTAAAGACTGAGCAACATAAACATGATTTGGACCTAACGATTGTTTTCGAATTTCTAGAGCTTTTCGTGAACCTCTATAGCTTTGTCGTAGTTTCCAGTTTTTTCAAACACCAAACCAAGATTGTTTAAAGAATCAGCAACATAAACATGATTTGGACCTAACGATTGTTTTCGAATTTCTAGAGCTTTTTCGTGAACCTCTTTAGCTTTGTCGTAGTTTCCAGTTTTTTCAAACAACACACCAAGATTGTTTAAAGAATCAGCAACGTAAAAATGATTCGGACCTAGCGTTTGTTTTCGAATTTCTAGAGCTTTTTCGTAAAACTTTATAGCTTTGTCGTACTTTCCAGTATTATAATACACATTACCAAGATTGATTAAAGAATCAGCAACATCGACATGATTTGGACCTAACGATTGTTTTCGAATTTCTAGAGCTTTTTCGTGAAGCTCTATAGCTTTGTCGTAGTTTCCAATTTTATAAAACACCAAACCAAGATTGTTTAAAGAAACAGCAACATCAACATGATTTGGACCTAACGATTGTTTTCGAATTTCTAGAGCTTTTTCGTAAAACTTTATAGCTTTGTCGTAGTTTCCAGTATTATAATACACATTACCAAGATTGTTTAAAGAATCAGCAACATCAACATGATTTGGACCTAACGATTGTTTTCGAATTTCTAGAGCTTTTCGTGAACCTCTATAGCTTTGTCGTAGTTTCCAGTTTTATAAAACACCAAACCAAGATTGTATAAAGACGAAGCAACATCAACATGATTTGGACCTAACGATTGTTTTCGAATTTCTAGAGCTTTTTCGTGAACCTCTTTAGCTTTGTCGTAGTTTCCAGTTTTATAAAACACCAAACCAAGATTGTTTAATGACTGAGCAACATCAACATGATTTGGACCTAACGATTGTTTTCGAATTTCTAGAGCTTTTCGTGAACCTCTTTAGCTTTGTCGTAGTTTCCAGTTTTATAAAACACCAAACCAAGATTGTTTAAAGACTGCGCAACATCGACATGATTTGGACCTAACGATTGTTTTCGAATTTCTAGAGCTTTTTCGTGAACCTCTATAGCTTTGTCGTAGTTTCCAGTTTTTTCAAACACCAAACCTAGATTGTTTAAAGAATCAGCAACATAAACATCATTTGGACCTAACGATTGTTTTCGAATTTCTAGAGCTTTTTCGTGAACCTCTTTAGCTTTGTCGTAGTTTCCAGTTTTTTCAAACAACACACCAAGATTGTTTAAAGACTGAGCAACATCGACATGATTTGGACCTAACGATTGTTTTCGAATTTCTAGAGCTTTTTCGTGAACCTCTATAGCTTTGTCGTAGTTTCCAGTTTTTTCAAACACCAAACCAAGATTGTTTAAAGAATCAGCAACATCAACATGATTTGGACCTAACGATTGTTTTCGAATTTCTAGAGCTTTCCTTTGAACCTCTTTAGCTTTGTCGTAGTTTCCAGTTTTTTCAAACAACACACCAAGATTGTTTAAAGAATCAGCAACATCAACATGATTTGGACCTAACGATTGTTTTCGAATTTCTAGAGCTTTTTCGTAAAACTTTATAGCTTTGTCGTAGTTTCCAGTATTATAATACACATTACCAAGATTGTTTAAAGAATCAGCAACATAAACATGATTTGGACCTAACGATTGTTTTCGAATTTCTAGAGCTTTTTCGTGAGCATCTATAGCTTTGTCGTAGTTTCCAGTTTTATAAAACACCAAACCAAGATTGTTTAAAGAAACAGCGACATCAACATGATTTGGACCTAACGATTGTTTTCGAATTTCTAGAGCTTTTTCGTAAAACTTTATAGCTTTGTCGTAGTTTCCAGTATTATAATACACATTAACAAGATTGTTTAAAGAATCAGCAACATCAACATGATTTGGACCTAACGATTGTTTTCGAATTTCTAGAGCTTTTCGTGAACCTCTATAGCTTTGTCGTTTTCAGTTTTATAAAACACCAAACCAAGATTGTTTAAAGACGAAGCGACATCAACATGATTTGGACCTAACGATTGTTTTGAATTTCTAGAGCTTTTCGTGAACCTCTTTAGCTTTGTCGTAGTTTCCAGTTTTATAAAACACCAAACCAAGATTGTTTAAAGACTGAGCAACATCAACATGATTTGGACCTAACGATTGTTTTCGAATTTCTAGAGCTTTTCGTGAACCTCTTTAGCTTTGTCGTAGTTTCCAGTTTTATAAAACACCAAACCAAGATTGTTTAAAGACTGAGCAACATCAACATGATTTGGACCTAACGATTGTTTTCGAATTTCTAGAGCTTTTCGTGAACCTCTATAGCTTTGTCGTAGTTTCCAGTTTTTCAAACACCACACCAAGATTGTTTAAAGAATCAGCAACATCAACATGATTTGGACCTAACGATTGTTTTGAATTTCTAGAGCTTTTCGTGAACTTCATAGCTTTGTCGTAGTTTCCAGTTTTATAAAACACCAAACCGAGATTGTTTAAAGAAACAGCAACATCAACATGATTTGGACCTAACGATTGTTTTCGAATTTCTAAAGCTTTTTCGTAAAACTTTATAGCTTTGTCGTACTTTCCAGTATTATAATACACATTAACAAGATTGATTAAAGAATCAGCAACATCAACATGATTTGGACCTAACGATTGTTTTCGAGTTTCTAGAGCTTTTTCGTAAAACTTAATAGCTTTGTCGTACTTTCCAGTATTATAATACACATTACCAAGATTTATTAAAGTATCAGCAACATCAACATGATTTGGACCTAGCGATTGTTTTTGAATTTCTAGAGCTTTTTCGTAAAACTCTATAGCTTTATCGTAGTTTCCAGTTTTTTCAAACACCAAAGCAAGATTGATTAAAGAATCAGCAACATCAACATGATTTGGACCTAACGATTGTTTTCGAATTTCTAGAGCTTTTTCGTAAAACTCTATAGCTTTTTCGTAATTTCCACTTTCATAAAACAAATTACCATGATTGTTCAAAGACTGAGCATCATCAACATGATTTTGACCTGATGATTGTTCTTGAATTTCCATAACTTTTTCGTGAAACTCTATAGCTTTTTCGTTATTTCCAGATTGCCAAACTTGTATGATTTAATTCGATGAATTTGCACATATCAACCTTAGCGTCAACAACTTAGTATCGACGAAAGACAATTGCAACTTCACAAAGATAAGCAAAATTCTTTAGCTCCATAAAAAATGTGGACTTACTAAATTGAACAAGCGATACTGTAGTTTATGACAAAGATAAACACACTTGTTGATTAATATTTCTACTTCTAAAACGACTTAAATATCTAAACTATTCAATGATGACATGCATGTGTCCATTTGCGATTTTAAAGAAAATGTACTTCGTGGTGAGTCATAAATAATTAAATATACTTTTAAAAAGGCTTACTTTGTTTAAGGTGGCAGTGATTTGTTTATGGTAAGCATATTGTTCTTGTTTGGAATTGTAACTTCGTTTGATTTATCTACAATTACAGAATTTACAAGCTTCCATAGGTCACATTTATACGTCGTAATCGTGCATAGAAATTCTTTGTTTTTGTCTCACGAACCTTATACTAGTTAACGGCGTGTAGCCTTGAACAGTTGAACTTTTAGAAAGATGTAAAGTTCTGACAACTTAAGCATCATATATTCTTCCTTCGAGTGGATATGTGGAAAATTATTTTGTGCTACGGAATTTAAAACATCTTAAGAATAGATTGTTATGTAAAGCAAAGATATGATTTTATGATTTTTATTGTTTTTGTTCATAAGTTTGGATATAAGTTGGAACAAATTGATCAATAGAAATAAGTATAAATTTTACTAAATTGTAACGTTTTTGAGATATTTTGGAAGTAAGTACGTGGTGATAAACCTCAGCTACATACACAAAGTATTAAAACTTGCAATGTCAGATTTCGCAACTTTTTCTCGTTTAACTTAAGATAGGACGATAAAGTGGAAATTTATAAAAAGAATTAATAAGTTGCAAAACTCATATCTGTTTTTAATTTATTGTAACTATAATGCGATGAATTTGCATACATGAATCTTCGCTACCAAAGCCTGACGAAAGACAATTGTAACGTTAAAAAGGTTAGCAAATTCTTTGCCTCATTGAAAATGTGGACTTACAAACTAGTTTACCACAAAGATAATATACTTCCTGATCAATATTTCTATTTCTAATATGACTTAAATATCTAAAATATTCAATGATGGCATGCATTAGTCCATTTGCAATTTCAATCCAAATTTTCTTCCTGATTCATAAATGTCATTTCATATATCACAAATAGAATGAAATAACACATATTTTATAAATATACCGTCCGGACCCAAAGATAAATATAATTTCATGCTAGCAAGCAAATTAAATTCCTTAGCAAGCAAGGACATCTTAATAAACACCCCTTCCTTCAGATGACAGTGATTTTTTGGTAAGCAAATTGTTTTTATTTGTAACTTTGCTTATTTGGTGTACAACTACAGGATCACAAGTTGCTACGGGGATCTATGATGTAATATGGGTAGTACTAGGTTGAGACTAATATTTATTAAAAGTGTATTAATTATATTTGATAAACAACTTTTATGTAAGATCTCATTTATACATCGTTAACACACATAATAATTCTTTGTCTTTTGTCTTACAAACCTTTTACTGGTCGACGATTGAGGCTTTGAACATTCGATCTTTCAGATTTCTTAACGTTCTGATAAGTTAAGCGTCAAATAGCTTCGTCCGTTGATTTGATACGAGGCAAATTATTTTGTGCAACTGAATGTAAAACATTAAAAGTTCATTGTTATGTAAAAGGAAGATACGGCCTTATGATTTTAATTGTTTTTCTTTATAAATTTGAATTTAATTTGGATCGAATTCATCAATAGAAATGAGAAGTGTAAATTATATTACATTATATCATTTTTAAGATACTTTGGGAGCGATTGGTAAAAAATTCAGCTCGATATGTCAGTTTTATTTTTATACTAGTGGTACTCTTGCCCGTTGAATAACACAATATCATTGCACAATTATATGTCATGAACGTCTAAATTGTGCTTATTGAAATCTTTAGTATAAATGGTTTATTGATAAACATTTAAAAAAAGCTACATTTCCAAAATAATAACGTTGCTAAAAGGCGAAAACCACTTTTTATAAACATAAATTAAATTACAATTAAACACATCATGATAAACACGCCTTATTTTAGGTAAATGGCAGTGACTTTTTTGGTAAGCAGTTAAAATGTTTGTTTTTGTAACTTGGTTTGATTGGTGTACAATTACAGGATTGCAAAGTGCTAAGGGGGGCTATGATGTATATTTTAAAGTACTTGGGTGTGACCAATATTTATTAAAAGTTTATCAATTAAATATGACGAGCAATTTTTATTCAAGATCTCATTTACAGATCGTTAACACACACGATAATTCTTTATCTTTAGTCTTACAAACCTTTTACTAGTTGATTGCTCAAAACTTAAAACATTCGATCTTTCAAACCACTTAACGTTCTGAAAAGTTAAGCGTCAAATGGTTGCGTCCTTTGAGTTGATACGTGGCAAATTATTCCATGCAACTCAATATAAAGCATTAAAAGCTTATTGTTATGTAAAGCAAAGATACGGCCTTATGATTTTTATTGTTTTTATTAACATGTTTGAATTTTATTACCGTTTCCTTGGTATTTTGGGAGTTTGTTAAAAAAACCTTAACTCCATAATTAGGAAATTGAAGGAGACTTACCTGAAGTTGAAGTTCGATTGGGATTCTATTAGCATCTACAAAGCAGAGATTACACGAGATACTACGCATGCGCACATTGGTCATATTTCAAAGATAGTGGCCACATGAACCGCCTATATGTGCATATGAGAAATATGCAGGGGGCAGTAACATGATGGGTGGGCGTGTAATCTCTGCTTTGTACATGCTAATAGAATCCCAATCGAACTTCAACTTCAGGTAAGTCTCATTCAATTTCCTAATTCTATTAGCATCTACCGCAGAGATCCCACGAGATTTGAAAGTCATGTGGACACACTTCAGGCCTACACGCAAATACGCCATTAAGTTATAAACTTAATTTAATTGAAGATGTGTCAAACATACCCAGAAATAGTAACAAAGACGAATTTAAAGAATTTCCTTCTCTTGCATTATACATGCAAGTATATGTGTTCTGAACTCCCTGCCAAGTTCAGCTAAAGAGAATTCTCGTCCAATATCTTTCTTATTGAGATGCTGAAAGAATGGAATTCCCAAACTCCGCATCACTACGTGGAGACACAACGTTCTTATTGTAAAACCGATGAAAAACGCAATCAGTCGTCCAACTTGCAGCGTTCAGTATAGAGTTTATCGAAACATCCCATTCCTTCGCTTTACTGGTGGCTTCCGCTCGTGTACTATGTGGTTTGAATGTTTCTATATCGATGCCTGCAGCTTGCATGACAACCTTTATCCATCGAGATATAGTTGACTTTGATACGTTATGAAAGGGTCGAATTGTGCTAAGAAATAGTTGCTTTTCCTGACCCCGAATGGAAGCAGTGAGTTTAATATATTCTACCATGACTGAGGCAACACATAGTCGGTGGTCGGCAGGGAACTTTGGAATCACTAAAGTAGGTTGAATGCGTGTTGGTCCAAACTGTTTGACAAGTTGGTCGATATAGAATGTGTATGAGCCTTCTTCCTTCTTTACAGTTAAGAGGTTCATGAGGTGGAGTGATTGGGCACGCTGCCTTGTGACTAATGCACAGAGCATTACCAACTTATGAGTTAGCTGTTGTAGGGTTAAGTCTTCTACAGCGGGATATGTCTTTAAATATTCTAAAACAATGGAGGTGTCCGAGGTCACTTGATATCTTGGTAGTGCTGGTCTAGAATGGAACACTCCCTTCAGTAGTCTCTGAACCATATGATGTGTACCAATCGTAGAATTCCCTTCAGTAATAACGAATGAGGATAACATACTTCGAGCAGTGTTAATGCAACTGTAACTCATCCCTTGATCAAATAGGTGCTGTAGAAAGTCTAGAACTACCGGTAAAGTTGGATGAAGGGGATCTGCATTCCGTTTATTAACATAAAGTAGCCACTGGTTAAGGTACACCTGATATTGTTTTTGTGTTCCTTACCGCCAGGAATTAAGTATTGTTGCTTGAGCTTGTGGTGAAATGCCCTTACTTGAGAGTGATTTCCGGATGAGACAAGCTATCAGTCTCAGTCTCCCTTTGAGTGGATGTTCTTTTGTTTGAATGGATGGTAAGCTCACGTTGCTTTTGTTTTTTGGGTAGGAGAATGGGTCGGTGAATCATTAACCTTGCCAGCATCGGATACCAGGATTGAGTTGGCCAATTCGGCACGATGAGAATTAGCCTGGGCCATTTCTACTTTTTGTAAAACTTGTGATATAACACTAAAAGGTGGAAAAACATAAAGAAACAATTTACTCCAATCAATGCAAAAAGCGTCAATAGCCCACGCCTGTGGATCTGGGTGCCACGAGACATAGGGTTTAAGTTGATAGTTTGTCTAGAAGCGAACATGTCAACTTCTGGGGTACCAAAATATGCTGTTATTTCAAGAAATAATTTAGCATCAAGCTTCCATTCTTTGGAATCATCAAATGTTCTGGAAGCTTTGTCAGCCACCACATTAAGTTTCCCTGGGATATAGCTGACAGTTAACCATATGTCCCTGATTCTGCCCATGCCCATATTTCCCTTGCAATTTTATTGCAATGGTGAGAGTGGCAGCCCCCCATGTGGTTAATATATGCAAGGGCCGTGGTATTATCGGGCATTACGTTAATGTGGGTGTGGGCTAGATCTCTACAGAGAGATTGTAGCCCAAACAGTATTGCTTTGAGTTCCAGACAATTAATGTGCGAGTCTTTTTCGGCGATTGTCCATTCGCCTCCCGTGGACTGTTTGTTAATATTTGCGCCCCATCCCTTGGTAGAGGCGTCCGTATACAATACGTGGTCGATCTTGCCATGATTCAGATGTTTTTTTGGACTCATATGCATTATTAATCCACCAAGATACGTCCTCCAGCGCCGAAGGGGAGAGTTTCAATGTCGAATCAAAGTTACCCCGTTAGATTTAAGGGTTGTTGTTTTGTTGTCCCTATCAAGATCACGATAAAACAGTGGGCCATATTCAAACCCAGGGAAAAAGCTACCATCATACCAATTAGCTTGGCCACTTCCCATATGCTAGGAGAGTCAGATTGCAGCACCCCCCTGGCAACCTTGCAGAATTTGTTGTGTTTCTCTATGGATATAGAGATAGTCATATCTGTTGAGTTTAACACAAACCCTAAATGTTGTAAAATCTGTGTGGGTTCTGTAACAGATTTATCTTTATGGGGTAGAAATCCTAATTTCTGAAACAATTGTAGAGTATCATGTACGTTTTGCTCGCATTCTGAATAGGAGTAGCCCATTAAAAAGGAGTCATCAATGTAACCGCTAGAAATGTGCCCAAGCTCCCTCAGCTTAGAATATACAGGCTTGAGTATCTTTGTAAATAAGCGTGGAGCGGAAGATAATCCTTGAGCAAGGCAAGTGAATTGGTACAGATTACCTTTCCACATAAATTTTAAGTATTTTTGATGCTCTATGTGTATTGGCATTGAGTAATAGGCATCTCTAAGGTCAACGGATGCCATGTAGCACCCAGGTCGCATGAACTGAGTACAAGCATGGATGGATTCCATTTTAAAGTGGTGATATGTTACAAATGTGTTAAGCTCTTTTAGGGGTTAATATCATTCTAAAAGATCCATCTTTCTTTGCTCTAAGAAAGACATTGGAGATAAACTAGCCCTGTTCATGTATGCTTGTAACAATGATACCTTTCTCTAGAAATTTGGTAACTTGACGATCGACGTTTTGGACTTTCGAAGGAGACATTTTATAGAGTGGGTTTGTTTCAGCTGGACTGGGTATATTATCGAGTAGGAGTCACAGCTTTCTTAGTGTTTTTCCCCCTGTCTCGACTTTCCTCTTGGGTTGGTTTTGATAAAAGTTGCGTCGTTGGGGTCGGCTTTGCAAATGACCGCCCCGACGTTAGAATAAAAAAGGTACATTGGAATTATATGAGCTGGTCGACCGTTGATCGTTGCGTTTCCGTTTTTGGCTTGTCAGTTGCTGTGCAGCCTTTTTGCTTTCTTTTACTGTTTTCAGGCGTTCCTTTAAATCATCACCAAACAGTTCTGCAGCAACAGGTTCTTTGTTACTACAGATTGCCTTGTAATTTTCATCAAGGTCAACTTTGAACAAGGCCCTGCGGCACATGTTCAGAGCATGATTAGCTGAAGCGAGAAGACAATAGATGTGGACAGCCCATCCCAGATGACCTCTGGTGTCGGTGCAGGTGTTGTATGGTTCGTTCCAAGACAGGTACTTATCGATCCCGGAATTCGGGAAATCGGAATGAGGCCCTGTAGTAAGGCTTCTTGTAATTTTTGTAGACGTGCATCCATGCTACGTGGGGATTTCCTAGCAATGTCCCAAATTCCTGGGTTCACCTTTGTAACTCTTAACAGGTCACAGTTTCGGGGCGTTGTACCCCTTTCTTCCGTTTTGATAATGTTTGTTCGTTTAGTCCAGTGGACAAAAGGCTGGTCAGGATTTTAGAAATTTTACTTGGCAATGGTTGGTCTGTCGGTTCATTCTCAGTCACTTCGTGAATCAGCTCATCTACCAAAGCATCGCTTTGGTTTGCTAGAGCTGGAGCTGTATCTGCAACTACAGCAGCAGCCCCGTTGGTTGAGTGTTCGTCATCAGTTTCACCTTCAGACATAACATCACCATCGTTCATTTGGCGTGAGGCATCATAAGCCTGCTTGAGCTCTTTTACGACTGGAGCAAAAGTATTCATCAAGCCAGTAAGTTGATCGACCTTCCTGTTAAGGTCGTCCAAAGTGGTTCTCCGTCATTTCCTTCTTCTAGGAGATTGTTGTTGTTGGCTTTAGCAAGGTATTTATACCCGGCACCGCCAGATTTGCTCATTTCCCTTGTAGACGAGACCGTTTCCGTTGTGGTTCATCGTCTACATTCACGTCTCCTAATAAGCCCGACAGCGTCGGATTAGGATGGTTATGCAAGAGCGTCAAGTCGTCTGCTTGCTCAATTGCTTCGCTGACTTGTGCCATTTGTTGTAGAATAGATTATCTAACCACAGAAAAAGAGTTTGCCGCGCAAACCCAGTGGTTATGTAGACGTTTGTTCTGTATTGCGTTTTAGAACTTTTCTGTCGTTCTACACAGCAGGATGGAAGATTATTTAATGGATTATTCGTATATGACCAAACACGCCACCTGTTATGGCGGTGAGCAAGGTAGAGGATGACCAATGTGCGCATGCGTAGTATCTCGTGAGATCTCTGCGGTAGATGCAAATAGAATTAAGAGTTGGTCTTATACATGAAAATTCACAATATCGGATTGTGGAATTTTTGTTTCATTTGCTTGTTTAAGTTAAATAAGACAAAATAGTCGTTCGTTGGCTTAAATGTTGGGAAAAGTAAATCTTACGCCTTGATAAGATAACATTAAATTAAATTGTGATAAATTAAATCGAGGAAAGTTGATATAGAATTCTTATTGTAGAAACTATAAAGATTTGTCAAGATCATGTCCGAGATTTGGTTGTATCATTTAGGTATATTTCAAGCTGTTTCTGGTAATCAGAATTGATCCGTAAGATGGCAAAAGTTAAGTCTATTAAAAGCACAAATCAAAACGACTTCACACCAAGAAAATAAAAATGTCTATTGCTGTAATTGAATTAATTAATTAGTTTATAACTAGCTGATTGGCATAATTTTAACCCAAAAAGCCTCAAACGTGGTCGAACTAAATTAGTCAAGAACCGTAAACAGAATAAATTTTTTTTATATATAGACATATACACCACCTCCATGTGGTCCAAATGCTTTGTTTTTATAAACAATGTTATACTCAGATATCTCAAGATTACAAGTATCATGTAAGCTATGTTTCTGCGATGAACACTACGTTGGGTTTCTTGCTTGGCAGCGAAATCGCGAATTATTTTGAGCTTTTGTTTTTAAATGTGAAGTCTAATTATAAATGCAAAAAGCACTCCGGTTACCCACTAGAGATACAAATTACTATAAAAATATATGGCGGATAACGTCGTATTTATATACAAATATCTGTCATGGATAAATAAAGTTATTTAAATCAATGTGACATCAAAATTATTTCGATATCTATAAATATCGGCGTTCATGTTCATTTGAAAATCGCTCGTGCAAGAATCGAATTTGCCTAATAGTTGTGAAGACAAGATAATGCACAGCTCGCTTTCCAAGTTTAGAGGCAGTTATGATCTAGAATATGTTTCAATGCGTAAAATTGTGGTAAGTACCTTTCATTCTTTATAATCTGGAGATTGTCCTATGTTACTTTTGCCGTGACTTTATGAGTCCGGGTAAATTGGTGTAGGAACAAACAAATTACTAAGCTTAGTTTATACTTAGTTTTAATTTCTATTTTTATTTTATAAAAATACTATTATCACTACACCTTGCTACAGCATTTGGATATGGTATTCATCAGTACGTATGGTTGTTATTGTCATAACATGCAGGGGCGGATCTAGGGTATGTCAAATCAGTCACGCGACTGATGTTTATAGTTAAAAAATAACTTATCAAATTTAATGATTACAATTTTTTGAGATTATTGAAATCTCGATGTATAATCGTATTATTTCATTGTCAAAATTATGTTTTATATCTGAAATCTTACCTAAATATCACGTTTTAGCATATCTGGAATTATATTAACTGACTGACTGATAAGCGGTAATGATTAATATTTTTTAACATGGGGTTATGTGATTATGTGATTTACAAAATGTTTTTGATTTAGAATCACGTAGCCTTAAACCTAAAATAGTTGTACTTTCTATTGAAAATCACAGCAGTTTTTAAACAGTGATATAATTTTACGGAGTTAATTGAATGTTTATTCATAACAATGCATGGTTGCTTTATAATACTAGTAAGTATCGTTTGTCCAATTATTTCATTCAAAACAATATGTAGTTTACAACCCACTTTTTTATCTCTTAGATTGGTTTATTAACTTAGCCTATTTCTTTAGTAAGCTTGCAATGTCAGTTAAATTATTTTTATTTAGTTGCTTAGAACATTTTCCATTTGCTGTTGTTAGCAAGTAAATTATAATATTATACTTAAAATTTTAAGGTTATGTATAAATTAGGTATGATACATGCATGTAAAGTAGAGAATAAGTTACAAATTGTTGAGGAGACGTATAAGTTACCATGACCTGTGAATGAGAATTATCAATTTTTTATTAAAACATTTTGCTAAATGTTGTGATCACTAGCACTTAAGGGGAATGGGTTGTAACATTAGGATGTGTTTAAATCAATCAAAAATAAATAGAGTGACAGTTACATTTTCTTATTTATTTTAGTTCATATCATAATGAAACGTGACCAGGCGCAATACAGGAAAGACTGGATTGCTGCTAATAGAACTTTAAGATGCAATGATGCAATGCCTAATGATTATAGCTGTAGTAATCTGTTCAATAATGTTTTTGATAATTACCTTGGACATTCACAACCTTTACAAAAATCAGCTCGAACCATTGCCAGTCCTAAACAAAATTTTTTCTCTTTGAAAGTTGGTCTTAATGATTGTGATATTGGGGAAAATGGCCGTGCTCTTTCTGGTGAAGTGGGTATTTTAATGTTTCTTTTTGCCATGGAAAAGCTAATTCTTTAGTGCATGTGAATGCAGATATTGGGGAAAGGCATTTTCCTGTTTCTTCTGATTTTGAACATGATAGTTTAAATGTTTCTTTTCAAGATAGGTTAGTTGATTGGGTGAATTAATACTCAATTAAGCAAAATGCTGTTGATGGTTTGCTTGCTCTTACTAAGGATAATGGTCATCCAAATTTACCTAGTTGTGCTCGCACTTTGTTGCATACATGAAGGTGTATTCCCATTCAGAAAAAATCTGGCAAGGATTACGTAAACTTTTCTTTTACGGAGAACAATTGTTAAAGCACTTTCACAAGCATCCTTGTGAAACAGTTAAGAACATTAATCATCCAGAAATCTCTTGAAATGTTTATGGGCTTCCTTTGTTTAAAAGTTCTGCAAATAATGTATGGCTTGTGTTGTGTGCCATTTTGAATATCAAATCTGTTGTAGTGTTTCCTATTGTCCTAGCATGTGGTGGCGAGTTGGGCGAGTGGCTGAATGGTTAATGGCGTGAGCTGTAAGCCAGACGGCGCGGAATAAATTCCAGCTCGTGGCACATCTGGCAATGTGTCTGTGAACCTAGCCCGGGTTGACCAAACCATGTGAGGGAAATTTGGTAGAGGAAACTATGTCCTCGGATGGACTGTACTGTACCTGTATCTGCAATGTTGCAGCCTTGTCACACTGTGTCACGCTGATATCAGCGTTGTGGTTGCTTGAAGGGTACGAGTGATTGTAGTCTGGTCAGCTGCCTTCACTTTAATTTCAGTAACCAGGATGTTCTACTTCGCGGAACCCTCATACGTCGAAATCGACGGAGTCCATTATTAGCATGTGGTGACTTCAAGCCAAAAGACTTGGAGTTTTTGGATGAGTTTATAGAAAATTTGAAAGGGTATTCTAGAGAGGGGAGTCCAAGATGGGGAAAGGTTCTAAGTGTTACAGTAAGGGGCATTGTTTGTGATGCTCCTGCAAGAGCACTTGTTAAAGGTACAAAACTTTGTACTGGTTATTTTGGTTGTGACAATTGTACACAAAAAGGGAAGTGGCTTGGTCGAGTGACTTACTCTCAAAATAATAATATAGAATTGCGCACTAATATTTCCTTTAGAAAGCAGATACAAGAAGAACATCATCGCTTTGTTAGCCCTTTCTGTCACTTGCCTGTTGATATGGTAAAACAATTTCCAATTAACTACATGCATCAACTGTGTCTTGGTGTTATGCGTAAATTTATTATGGTTTGGATGAGGGGAAATCACTCTGTAAAAATGTCTGTTGCCCATGTAGAGGCTGTTAGTAAAAAATTGGTGGAGCTTAAACCATTTATCCCTTCTACAATTGTGCGAAAACCTAGGAATTTAATGGAGATTGAAAGATGGAAAGCTACAGAATTCAGATAGTTTCTTTTGTATACAGGCAAAATTTCTTTCAGCCGTCAATGAAATCTTATCAACAAATTCTAGAAGTAAGTACTGTAGTTGCAATACAATACGCCATTGCTTTATTCAAAGGATTGCAGTTTTTCAGATATTGCTACGTTGCATTTAAATCTAATGAGTGATTTTGCTTTTTAGATTTGCCGGTGAACAGCGAACTGATCTTCTTGCAGAAAAAGGTATAAGCGCTATTATAATCCTTGTACAAGAGGACAATTTTTTGACAGAAACATGCATGTATAAAATTTCTCTTTTTATCTTAATATAATGTTGATCTAGATTTATATGACGGTGAACTAGCACCAGAAATCCTAAACACAAAGGATCATGCAATAACTCCCCGTCTACTAGAAGGACGCCATCTCAGCCTAGTGGTAAGTTTTCTGTCATCAGAACTGACTAATCAACAACTTTCATATAATATGTCGACTAAAATGTTGAAATAATTTTGATTGATTCTTTTTAAATCACTTTAACATTAGTATTGTAAATTTACTGTTTTTTTTTACGTCCATCGTTGCATTATAGGGCTTATATATGTTCTACAGGTGCTGCAGGCGGAGTTCCTTTAAAATGTTGTTGTAATAAGTTGAAAAAATGTTAGTTATAGTTAAAATTGCAGTTGTGTTCACCACGATTTATTCAAAATACATCCGTTCAAATCTAATTCCCAGCGTTTGCTGTCAAACTACTAAATAAACTTTCTCGAAGTTTTTATTTTAGTCACCTTTCTGTTTCTGTCTTTCGAAATTTGTGGTGCCTTAATTTAAATGACGTTCGTGCGTTCAATAAAGATATATGTTAAATCCAGTACGTGTCTTCTCTGTAGATACAAGCAACGTCTCTTCACAAGGAATTCCTACAACTGGCACAACAAGAGAAAGATAATCTCAACGAAACAGTGGTGTCTTAGGTAAGCTTTTCGTACAATTCATTATTGCATGTCTTGTTGTTACGTTTTCATTTACGTTCATTTCGTGTCGTTTGAAATGTTTTTTTTTCTTCACAACTAACTGCAACACGTGATTGCTTTGCAGATGCGCATGACCTTTCATCGCACAAAACGCTTTCGACAAGTTTTATGAACATAACACCTGCAGAAAGACGTTCTCAACCAAACATTAATGGTACCTTTTCTACAGTACATAGTGTTTGAATAGCGTTGTTATTATGTACGTGTATTCAATTAGCAATTTGATGCGAGTTTTATTTGAATTTTCTTGTTAGCATGTTGTAAGGTTTATATTTTAAAGATATTACGTAGGTTATCATAAGTTATTCTATTATTTTCTTATCTATCTTGTAGGCTTCCAAAGATCAGTTTACACCAAACTGGAAACATTAATTGATAAGCAAGAAGAAGCGTTGTCAATATTGCGTGCTCTGTTAAGCACTACGAAGGGTGTAGACGAGCACGAAATTTTGGAAGATGTTGTACCTAATGCCTTAGATTCTGTTGAAGAACTTGAGGATCTATCCTCTAGTCTTGATGAAGAAAAGTCCAGAAGAAAGTTGGTAAGTTTTAGAAAGTTAACCACCCATACATATTTAGTAATATTTATTGGCACTGCCTATTTTTTATGCATGACTCTTTCAAGTGTTACGTAAAAATGTTACAAAGGAAGGCATAGCCCTTCCTCTTTATCGGTTTGGAAACGTGAAAACGATAGTTTCATTTGCAATTACGTAACATAATATTGACTTTTTTCTACCATTTGTGTTTGAAGCTTGAAAACATGCACGTTTGTCAAAATCTGAAACGTAATTTTCGTGACGATTTTCGTGACGTTAGGGGGTCAGATTATCTGATTAAACTATATGAATCTAGCATCGTGTTTTTCGTTAGAGCATTGTCGTGCTCTGATTGATTTAAACACGTTACGATACTTCAAACGGCTCTTAGGAGTGTGTCGTTTTATTTGTGATAAAAAATTTTAACGAAGAAACTTGTCTTTCTAAAAGCTCTCACCATTCACTGTGGATGGTTTTGTTTTGCAATTCGAGATCAAAAAGGTTATATATATATGTCTAAATTGAACTTTTCCATATAATTTAACTTTTACTCTCTTTACTAGCTGCAGTTTTTTGGTAGCACTGTGCGCAAACACCTGTGCAAACAGTGTTAGAAGATATATGACAAAGCTGGGAACAAATAATCTATGGCCCAATATAGTTTAAAAGGCAGGAAGTCGAAGCGACTATTTCAGCACCTTGTCCTCTGCAAAGTTATAACAAGTAAGAACAATTAGATGATAATGATTGCAGTAGCAGTACCATGTTTTGTCTCTTTTTTCTTGTTCATGAATTGGAAAAACAGCCATTTATGTTGCTCCTTGTCATAAGGAATATTATTGCAAGTTTTAAAAGCTAATACATTAAACTGTTTTGCATATGTCACTTTAATGAATTGTTGTTTATCATTCAGCTTACGAAAATCATTTAGTGTTTTATCTATGCAATTTATATAAAGTACGTCTTTTCTGTTTCGTTTCTCTTGTTAGAAGCCTGCCTCAAAGCTCATAAAGGTTGCAGCGAGGCCAACGTTGAAGATCAAATTGCCGAATTTTTAAAATATGCTCCAGGCAAGCAAGATGGTTCCAGATTTAAGGTAACATGTCATTGTCATCATAGATTGCTGGGTGAAGTATATAGATGCCATTTTTTTTTGTTTGATTTTCTCAGCTTCGACAGGGAGAAGTCAACTTATTTTACTCCGTAATCGCATAGTTAACATATTTGTAATTTCTTGTCTGTGTAAGTTGAGAAAAATACACAATAACATTATTGGCATGTGCACTTAAAGAAAGTGAGCATGTGTCTTTCATTGTCCTTCATTTATAAGTAAAGCAAAATGGAATGGACACATATACATAATGCGTACCTTTAAAAACGTTCATTTTAGTGCAGGTATTAGATTTGTGCAAGTTTTAAATTTTCTTAACTCAAACTGCATGATGAGATTTATAATATACAATTTGCTTAGCGTGATATTAAACAATTATTTAATGAAATAGTATATGAATTAAGACTTATGAAGGCCAAGGTTTGTTCAATCTACCAACGCTGAGGCAGTTAGAACACATTGATGCCTTGATAATTCTTTATATTACGTGAAAACCCAATTCAATAATTGTTTTATTATTTATATAAAAAAGACAGTGTTGGTTAAATGTGAAAAAGGTGCCGTAACGATTAAAATTTTCTTCACTTGTTTTGTTTCTCGTGCGTATGAGATGACGTTTTAGCGCGAGATAATTTCTTATATCCGACGTACGTACGTAGTGGCATTTATATAAATGGATTTATTTGATTGCTTTTAAGTGAATAAAAGTAAAAAATACTTTGATCCATCCACAGCAGACGATTCAGTTTTCCATTTAAATTGCATCTCTTACAGACAAATATGTCAATGTTATTGTAGGTGGTAAGACATATAAAAATGATATATAGACTACCATTTTCTAATAATCATATATGTTATTTTCTTGCAGGTCTGAAAGGCAACTTATTGTAATCGGCTTAATTAGCATTTTTAGCATTAAACTTTAGTTCGTATCATTGGAAAGGCTGTTTTATGATTTCACAAATATTGCATCATTAATTGTATGTTAAATTAGCGTCGGAGAAACGCTGTATGAACGTTGTACAAACGTCGGGTTTAGGTTGAAAATACGTTGCATCCCAACGTTTATTGACATTGATGACAGTCATTATTACGCACTACTCACTGGCACTTTATAACCACAATGAGCCTAGCATTTGCCTAAAAACAGATGTCTCGTTGAAAAGGTGGTGCTGCTCCATTAATGGTTTATGTGCTTGAGGTAACTGGATGCCCTTGGAGGCTTCCAGCCGTTTAAATTATTTGAAAATTCTTGAGGTATTGTTTGCCCTTTAGTCATTTTCTTTAGAACTAAAAGGTCATCATGTTAAACTAATAATTGATGATACTACCGCTGTAGCTTGCATTAACCAATAGGGCACATGCCACTCAATATCAGTTCACAACTTGACATTCAAAGTCTGGACATGCTGCACTTCGTATGATATTTGGTTGACAGCAACGCACATTCCAGGATTACAAATTGTCACTGCGGATCGAGAATCTCGAATATCATGCAGAGAAACAAAATGGCAGTTGAACAAGACTCTGTTCACGTGTGCCATTCAAAAACTAAACGTAACTCCGAACATTGATTTGTTTGCGTCAAGGTTGAATAATTAAGTGAAACCCTATGCTTTATACCAACATGACCCGTATGCTATAGCTGTCAACGCCTTTACGATATGGTGAGCCAATTATACATTTTATGGGTTCCCGCCTTTTAGCATAATTTCGCAAGTGTTACAAACAATAGTACAAGAGAAAAGCACAGGACTAGTCTTAGTCCCTAATTGGCCAACACAATTTGGGGGGCAGCTTTAATGCAGATGCTAATAGCACATCCAGTTGTTTTACAAAACTGGAGTTACTACTTTGCCATTTATCGGGAAACTCCTCTCTGATGAAGGTATTTCTCTAGGGAGCTTCTAAAATCATCCAAAAGGCCTGGTGGACCGGTACCAAGAACAATATTCTACATACCTTAACCGTAGGCGACAATATTGCAGTGCAAACAATATCGATCCTGTCGCGTCCTCTGTAGAAGAGGGCACTAATTTTGTTACAAAATTTTACCATGAAGGTTTATCCTACAGCGGTATTAATACTGCAAGGAGCGCCTTGTGTACTATCTTAATGCTACCAAGTGGCATCTCGTTTGTTACACATCCACTCGTTGCTAGGTTTTTTAAAGGTGTATTTGTTGCAAGATCAGCTCTTCCTAGATAATGCCACGGTCTGGGATGTTTCAGTGGTATTCAAGCATCTTCGAAAACTCCACCCTCCAAAAAATGTCAATTTGAAATCTCCAACACTAAAACAGTGATGTCCTTAGCTTTATTATATGTATATAGTAAGTCCAGCTTAAACTGTGGGCTTTTATATCGAATACAGACTTTAATAAAATCGTTTTATTAAAGTCTGTAAATATATCCTTTTTTTGCATTAGGAGGTATCAAATGATCATCTTCAGCTTGAGTCAATACAAAATGATGGTTGTAATCAAAATCAGTATCCTATGAATTTTTCCCTTTAACTCTAATGGATCAACTTATCTTTGTCAAAAGCTCTTTTATTTTTAAACGTAAAAAAATGTTTTACTGAGTTTAACAAATTGCTACGAAAGTTTCTAATTTCTAATTCTTAATTTTCTAATCAAGTCTTATGCCGAGCAACTAATTAAGAGGGTTTTTTCTCGGCATTAAGGATTGGAAGGATTTCTTTAAGGAGTCCACACTGTTCTAGTTTTTCTATTTCCCTTCCAATCACAGGACCCTCGCATTGCGATTAGCTAGTTCAGCGTACTTATGGGTCAGATTTATAATTGTGGTTATCATGAGTCAATAAAATCTAAAATTTTTCAAAATAACAAATGTGGAACTGGTGGACGTGGCTCTCTTACGCTACATTTAATTAGCAATTTCTTTTTTATTTATTTAATTGTACTTACCGAACATAGAAACGGTAGCTCTTCACAGACTCTTTATTTATGTATGGAGTTTTCAGATAAAACTTACAGTAATATAAATTACAAATAAATGGACATCATTTTATGATCTTGCTATATCAAAGCTGCATGTTAAATTACATTTACAATACAATATAGCATAATATCAACACAATTGTATTATTAATTTACAAGGATTTTCTATCATCGTGGATGGATGATACAATAAAAAATACAATGAACATTTTTCAAAATTACTAAAATGTAAAACTGAATAGAATAAAAATCATTTACAGGAGTGAAAAATAATAAATTGGCAAGTAATTACGAAAAATAGCAATAATTGCTTTGCATGATTTCATCAAAGTTCGCGTGCCTCATTTTGTGCTCCCATAGCCGAGTTTTGCACACGTAATTCGTCTATCTCGTCCAAACGCTTGCTAGTCCATTGTACAGTAGATGTATTAGCTCTTACTTCACGCTCTAAAATTTCCACTTTTTCAAAGAGATTGACAAAAAAAGCAGGGACTTGGTCAGCCATGCCTTGAATTCGCACAAGTGATTCGTCAATATGGTCGAAAGGCTCGTAAAACTGTACTATAATGAATGAATTATCTCTTGCTTGCCGCTCGAGGGTCGCAATCCTTTCACGCATCGAGGAACCATCTACAGACAATTGAGTGTTATTATTATTGTTCCCATAACGATCCTCTAGACTCTCAATTCTCCTTTCTAAGCCTGTAAGTTTTCCAACAAACATCACTGAATTGTCTAAAATATTGGCACGAGCAGCAGTGATTCGGTCACCCAAGTTTTGCATAGCAGTGGTAAACTCTGGACGTGGTACATAGTTACTTAACTGTGTAACAAATGCTTTAACATATCGTAACAAGGCGCACACATGATCAATTAGATTGTCATTCATATGTTGTCGGATCTCCTTTCGTTTTAAAGTCTGCGAAAAAAAGAAAAAGATAATGGCAAAGCATTATTTTCCACAAATTAGCGTTACTTGCAACTAATTTCGGTTATTTTAATCAAAATATGATGAAGAACAAATTTTGTTCTCTCTAAGCACTGAAATCATTAAATTAATAAGAATGAACAAACATGCCCCGTTTTCAAACAGAGAACCTATACAAATCAACTTTCTGACAGGTCAAAGCTGTTTGATAACAAATAAATCAGTTGTGCAGCTGCTTATAACTGGACGTTACCATAATTTCATTTCTATACTCAAAATATTGGTATCGGTGGTGTTTATCTTTGTTTTGAGGTTCTAAATTTTGGCAATAGTCATAACAAAATAACAAATTTCAAACGCGTGCTCTGATTGGTCAATGCCTTTATGGAAATTTTTCATGTGTTTGAATGGCCTGGTGAACAGTGGCGTAGCCAGGAAAAATATTAACTCCCGCCTACCCGTGTCGCGCCGAATTTGAAAATTTTGAAATCCATAGCCTTGGAAACAACATTTCCTGCGATTTGCTGGGCGAAATATTTGTTGTACAATACGTTATAAAAACCCGTTTTTATTAGCTGCATTCTTAATGTGGCAATTGTCAAAACTGCAACTAGTTAAAAAGATACTAATGGTGGCTCAGTGAAAAGTTACGCAGGAGACAATTGTCCCCTAAAGCGTAATGAATCAAACTCATCTCTGAATAAACAGAAGAAATTTGGATTAGCACAAAAAATAACATAGTAAACGACACTTCCTGAAATGCATAGGGAGAGATTGTCCTTAGCATTTCACTTCTTAGTTTACACTTGTTTAAATTGGGGCAGGTAGACAGGGACGGCTTTATTCTTTAAAGTAATGATTAATGTTCTCAATGAAGTACCGTGCATTATAAGAACATCATTTATAAAGAAAAGCCAGCCTCCTGGGTTTTTCTACAAATTTTTCAACCACCTCATTATGCAACACATCTGATTCCTCTTTTTGAACTTGCATTAAATAAACGTTATCTCGTTGCTAACATGAAATTACAAAGTAGTCCAAACATTCTTACTTTGTCATAGCTGCATCCAATGGCTTGAAATTCACATTTTGTCGGCACTTCATTACAAGTCGTCTTTTCATGGTGTTCAGTATCTTTCTTCGGTATTATTTGATTGCAATATTTACAATTCACGGGATAATTTCCACATACATTTTCTTTGTGATCCTACATGTTAAAATGAAATACAAAGCAACGACAATTTAATGGATGAAGTTTGGTCTCGTTTCAAAAAAGGCGGTCGAAGTTGATAGTAATTGCTAAGCAATAACAAAGACAATAAAGAGATATATATTACGACACAAAATATTTATCTCAGCTTGCTGTGTTCCTGTGATTCATGCACGCACCTTAAGTGAAGCATACGGGACATCTTTACCACAATATTCACATTTTACATTTCGATATTCACATTCATTCTTCAAATGTTTAGCAAGGAGAGAGCGAGGTAACTGAATAATACACTGTTTATGTATACAGCTGATGAGCGCATGCTCACAAACTTGAGAATGACCCTGACGAAAAAAACTTTATAAGTGAAAATGCCACACTTCTTTGATAAATTTCTTTGCCCAACTCACCCCCAATTCTTCGTATTTACCAAACCATTTACACTCTTCAGATGGACAGTGTAATTTAATCTTTTTTAACTCACGCTTCGTGAAAGCATCCGGGAAAACCTAGATGGATCCATGGAAATTGATCTTTTATGAAACAAGATTAAATGTAGCAAAAGACAGAGTCACTTCATTTTACTCAAATGCAAGTTTGCACTAGACGTTAAATGAAGTAGTAACGTAAATTTCTTACAAGAACTGTTGGCAAACTTTTTTGAAGTAGAATTCACCGACGCACTAACGCTAAGTGCAAAAGCTCTCAAAAATGTAGACTCAACAACGAGCTCAACATGTTCAACACCGTGTTTAGGAGAGTTTAGTAGTAGCTATTAAGCGGGGTTGAGCGTTGTTGAGTGAAGTTTAAATTGCTCAAAATTTCCACACAACATCACTCAACATTTGCTTTGTTCCATGGTCACCAAACCGCACCTCAATTTTGTTTATAGTGCAATGAAACTTCTGGTTTTTAAAACAGCACACTCAACACGCTGAGCGAAAGCATGCACACTACCTGTGCAGCTGATATTGTTGTTACCTGGTCACTGAACCGTTTATGTACCTGTATATACGCTGTTGCTAGGCATGGTGGAGTAATTTATCTCATGATCCCACGCGATATCATTTCAAGACTCAACATGTTGAGAGCGTTTGCACACATCGTTTAGCATCACTCATCAAACAAAAAACAATGTTTAGCGCATGTTGAGTCAACATATTGAGAACGTTTGCACGTTGCTTTGATAACCCAAGTTGCAAAAGGATTTTCTACGTCACAAGACACGACAATATACGTAAATCGATGTATATTTTTCTAGAACTCAAAGAGTAATTATAATTAT